AAATAGAGCATGGCATTGCATTTTCAAGGCAATGTGTGCACAAACACCCTTCCTATCATGTCATGAACTCAAGAGAGTATGGTTCTCGACCCTCGGGCCACAATCACGCATGTCGATGCATGATGGCCAAAGGAGCCAAGTGTGCGATTCAATATGTAATGAATGCACAAAAAACACATGAATGCCTAGAACTCTATCATGTTAGATCAAGAGTGTTAGCGATCGAGGATTGGGGCACGTTTCGTCACTTCAAGTACGAAACGTCCCTCATTCTTCATGTTTGGTTTGACACGCCAAACCAAACATAATGCAATGCATGCAACAATGGAAAAGCTATGTAATGCATCATAAGCATGCCAAATGCAATATGACTCAAACAACATGTAAACAACATGGCATGCAGCAAGTATGCAACAATACTATGCAACCTAAACATGCAAATATGCAATGTACGAAGCATGTAAAATGCAATGTACCAAGTATGCAATAACGACGAAATGGAACAAGCATGCAACAATATACAAGGATCATGCAAGATGGACTTAAACCGAAATGGGCAAACCTCAGCCATGCCCAAATCAGTGGCCAAAACACTAAAACTAAGGCACTGACATGCAAAACAAACACATACACATATTGGTCCATCACTTAGGCACAAAGAGGACAACTCTCGAAAGAACTCAAAGAGTGAAAAGCATGCAAGCGTGGCAACACTACATGCTCTGAAATGATGTCAAGGATGATACCAAATCATACACACAGGTCAAGCATAACATGCAAGAAAGCTCAAGGCTTAAGGCTAGCCAAGGAGCTTTTACTAAGGCCACATGAAACAAGCTCCAAAGAGCCAAGGAGAACCAAAACAGTCCTAGATCATGCTAAAGGGAGTCTAAAACATACAAGGGCCAAAGCTAAAACAAGCCAAAAGGGCCGAAGGCAAGATGCAAGTAAGGCCAACAAAGGGGATTACACTACACCCATTTTAACCAAACATGGCATGGCTTAACCAATGAAAAATAGAGATATGTCATGTCAAAATAGGCACAAAAACCCACTTAGATGGCATCCCGAAGACCTAACCATGGAGGCATGCACAATGACCCAACCTTAAGGCATAAGACACCAACTCTTCAAAGCTTTGAAAGGATGACAAATGCAAGTGTAAGGCTATACTACATGGACTGAAACCACATATGAGATGATGCCAAATCTTGAAAAAGGTCCAAGTAGTGCATGCTAATGACTTGGACCCTCAAAGCTAACAAGCTAGAATGTATGGTAGCTATACAAAGCATTGCATATATGATCAAAACAACACCAAACATAGCTTAAACATGGCAAAACATGACTAAAAGTTCCTTTGAGTTGAGCCAAAATATGCAATCATGATGGTCCAAATGCATGGTGCATGTTAAGGAAAATGAGAGAATTGCAAGACAAGTGTATAATGCATCCAAGAGGCTATCAAACCAACTTAAAATAGAGGTATATCATGGCCAAATAACACCAAATACTTTCTGAAATGAAGCCAAAACATACTAAGCAATCATGCTACCATTATGAGCCAAATATACAAGCAAATGAGACACAAGGAGAGAGGGGTGTCCCTCTCCTATTCAAGACCTCAAAACTACCTTTCCACCACTGAGAATTCTCTGGATTTCAGTGGTAGAAAGGTCATGCAAAGACAAGAACAAGGGCCGAAAGAGGTGGCTCAAAACAAGGCCAAACAAGGCCTAAGAGGGGGTAGACAACCCCCAACCAAAAAGTGACCTTAAACAATCATCTTAAGCACACAAAAACTGAAGTTTTTCAGTTTATATTTAAGCTTAAAACGATATGCAAATAGGTCTAAAAGCTTAAGCCAAAATAGAGAAACAAAAGGTTAGTTGCTTACCCTTGAAGAACACCTTCAAGAACACAACTCCAGCCACTCCCTTGGATCAAAACCAGCCCAAGAACTCTGAAACCAACTTCCTAGTGCCTTAACAACCAGAGGAAGGTGCTCTACTAGGTGCTATAGTGCAAAAATACGAACAAAATACACTTTTAAGGCACCAACACACACACAAATATATAGAGAGAGAGGGATACATGAACTCTATATCTATTTTGCTGAACCTCAGGAAAGGGAGGGGAGGCTCCCTTCTTATAGGAAATCAAATTCAAAGCTTCTTAGAGAAGCTAAGCTTTGGTTCAAATCTCTCCATACACGTGTATGAAGGGGAGGGTCTGTGCTCACCAGCTGGCACAGCTGGCATGCACAATGCCTGAAAAAGGCAAAGAAAAGGTGTCGGCCAGAAAATATGGCCGATCGACCAAAATAAGTGCCGACCGACCAACAAAAGTGCCGACCGGCCAACACTTTTGGCCGATGGAAAGAAAACAAGGCCGATGGCTTCAAGCCTTAGCCGATGGGTTGTGGGGATGGAAAACAAGCCACCCTTTTCGCTCAGAAGCAAAACCACAAGTCCTTGGTCCACAACCAAGCACAAAATAGACAAGTTGATTGATCCTAAGGCAAGGCACGCAGCCAAGACCTTCAGGAACTCAAAACGAACACAAGCATGGATGATCATCGAGTGTTCAAACGATGACGTCCAAGTCTTGAGGATGGTCAAAAATGGGGTGTCTACAATAGTAGTCTTGTAAATTTTTCTGTTCAACTTAGTAGGAATCCTATGGTCACACAACACTCCTAATGCACTCATCCATTTCATCCATCCTTTCCTGCCCTAATTATATGGGCCACGTTCTCCTTGATCTCACAATATTTATGAATAATTTTGCCAAGATATGGAAATATTCACTATTACATATATCATTCACATCAAGTTTTACTTTATATTCATCCCTGTTTCTAGTTTTCTGAAGTTATACTCCGTATATTCTATCTTTCGTTTCACTTAACTTAAAAGTTTTAAACCTTTTAGATTCTGAGGTATTTCTCCACAATTGTAATTTAAAATTTACTCTTGTTCATCATCCAAAACTGTAACGGCTGCAAATAACATATACAAGGGGATATCATTTTGAATGTTTCTAGGAAATTTATCCATAATTAGTGCAAAGAGCTAATAAGTTAATGCTAACCCTTGATGTAAATCTCGACTTTTCATGGCACAATTTCATCAAAACTCGACTTTTCATGTACAAATCAAAGAAAACAACTTAAAGATAGATTTAAACATGTACATACACTAACTAATTCGGACCTAAATGCATGAAAAACATCTTAGTAATCATAATATAAAGATAAAAGCGCATGTATAATGAAAATACATAGAAAAAGTGATCTAAAACTACATTAAACTAACCATTATCAAGGATGAAAACTATATTTTAAAAAATGCAGCAAAATGGTGAGAAAAAGTTTACTAACTTTTGATTTGGGACTCAAACCGAAGAAAGCAAAGAAAAATTTACAAAACAAGGGCTCTGAGTGCTCTCCTTACACTACAAGAAATTACACATTTGCCGACCACTTCTGAGTGTTTTTTGGGGTAAGACTAATGGGTATTGCTCTTCTTTTTTGGTCTTTAGAGTTGTTTTTGTGTTCATTAAAATGTTAAGGGTGTTTTATCTTTTGACTAGAACTAGTTTCAAAAAATATTTTATTTTGTTTTCTTAAGTGTTTCAATGGGAATGATTTCCTTGTAAGCCTATAGGAAATGTTTAAGTTTTAGAGTATATGTTGAGATCAATATTTTAACCTCAATCTCTTCATAAATTCAAAACGCAAACATACCAGAAAATGTGATCACTAATGCTTCTCAAAGCATGGCCACTGTGAATTGTGGAATCCAAACTATTCTATATTCAACAACCTAATACTGCTGAAATCTCAAACTGGAAAATTCCAAAATAATTAGGACCACATATTCAAACTTAACAGGGCTAACTTTGTGATTCTCTATCCGTAAATCACAATGTATTCTTAATTATCGAATCATAGAATCATATCTTAATATTCATATATTTTAAGATTTTTATATGATCTAATGATCACGATTGCATTAAAGTGGAAGGATAGAGAGATTTGGCACAGAGGATCTTTAACCTTGAGAGATACACAATGCATACCACATGAAAGAAAATTATTACAGGTCACGACAATTATTAACTCCAACCCTTGCACAATAGAGCCCCAAGTTTGCACCACAACATTGTGTGTTTTAAAAGGTTGTTATGATTGGATTCTCCTTAGGACAACCCTTTTTATAGTTAGAGATAACTAGCTCTTCAAAGTATTACAAACTGATTTGAAAACACAAACTATATTAGTTTTTTTAATTTTTATTTTATTTTTATCGACCACAAACTATATTGGTTTGGTTTAGGTGGAAAGCAAGATCAAAAGTTGGAAAGCAAGATCAAAGAAACCAAGATCAAAAGTTTTTCTCATAATTATACCTGATCTAATATTAGGTAGAAAGCTATCTTTAATTCTTAATTTGATTTCAAATACTCATTATGTCTTTTAATTTTGTCCTTTTCTTTAGTTTGGTCTTCTTATTAATTTGTTTATATTAAAAGATCTCGCTAATTTATTCCACATGGAACACAAAGGAACCAAGATAAAAATGATCTCCATGATAAAGGTTTGTTGAGATTGGAAGGACTTGAATTTTGAATCAGTAATGCTATATGGTATATATAATGAAACCAAAAAAAATGTTTCTGTTTTGATTTATGAAGTATAGATGTACTCAATTCAAAAAATCATCAATTCCCAATATTGTTGGTTCTCCAACCTTGTTTTACCAATCTACTTGTATGTTTCCCACTTGTTCGGTGTTTTCCATGTCTTTTGCATTTCCAATATTGATAAATAATGCCTATTTTATGATCATGTAAACATATCTTCAAAGACCGTCATCTTGTTCTTATAGTATTTTCCCTTCTCTTCTTTATGTACTAATTTGGTCTCATCTCTCTCTCTCTCTCTCTCTCTCTCTCTCTCTCTCTCTCTCTCTCTGTGTGTTTGTTTTTTTTTTTTTAATAATTGCAGAACCTGATAATGCGGCATGTGAATCACTCTGCTAGTGATCTGATTGATCTCTTGCAAGGGCTTCTGTGATATGACCGAGCAGAGCAGCTCAAAGCAAAGGAAGCTCTTAGACATCCCTACCTGAGAAGGTGTGACTTTGCAAATGAACACACGACATTTTGGTTATGTTCTTATTATACTTTTTTACTTTTTGAACCTAAATTATTATAGTGAGTGGCCAAGAATCTACAGTTCATGAAATGCAAAATTTAGGGGAGTAGTACTTCAATTTTTCTATATATATATATATATATATTTTAATTTTTATCTGTTAGATTGGATATATGCAGCAATTGTTGTGAAAATTATAGTGTTGTTTTTCTTATAAATCAGTGGTGATATGTGGCCTTGACTAGTTGTAATTTCATTACATTGGTTCTTCTTCTCTATTTCAATTAGGTGACTGGTTGGATGGTTGAATACCAAGATAATCTGGTAAGCCTTGGTGTTGATGAGTCCTTAGCTCAAGTTTGTTCCAAGAGTGGTGCAATGGATCCCCTTATGAATGCATATGTTGAAAGAATGCAAGCTACAACAAGGGTAATCATAATTTTTTTGATAGCTTTATTGGTTTGTTACTTGGTATATGACATTGCTCATATCACATGTCTTTCCTGTGCCATTTGCTGTCACTATTTTCTAGAAATGGTACTTGAATATCCTTGAGGCTAAAAAGGTACAACCACCAAAGAAAACAGATGATGAGAGGCTATATACATCTGCTGATGTTGATTTGTTTAGGATCCTTGGAGAGCAAGTGCAAATTGCTCATGAAAATAACATCGATATCATGCTGTACAAAATTGCTTTGTCCATTAATCAAGTAAGTTCAGCTTTAAAGTTTTACTTAAATTATATACCTTATTCAATTCTTGACATTCTTTTTCTTTTTCTTTGGTACATATGGATGAACTTGTGCATGAAGCTAAATAGTATAGGACTAATTGGCGCTATAAGCATTTTTGAAACTATTATATATTTTTGGATAGATGTGTATGGAAAATATTTCGATAGACTAGTAGTTATATTTTTGGATGGGTGTATATGGAAAATATTTGGGTAAACTAGTTATATTTTTTGATAGATGCACGTGGATAAAAATTTAAATTGTAGGAATATGTACTTTGGAATTACTTGTGGATGTAAACTTATAATAGTAGTTAACTTTTATTAAACAGGTTTAGGATTGGATGATTTATGTATTTCGTTGAATGTTCATGATTTAGATACTTTGTTGGTATGAATAATTGTTTTTAATTACAGATTATATTGAATGGATTGGATGGAATATTTGTCTTCAATTGCAGGTTTATTTTGTTGGATGCTGGCAACCAAATTGTGGTTTTGCCGACCAAAATGTTGGTAGGCAAAATGGTGCATTTGGCGACTAAATAATTAGTCGGTAATCTTTTGACAACCAAAGAGTTTGGTCGTGAATAGGTCTATTGCCGACTAAACTTTTAGTCGTGCAAATATTACTTTTGGCGACTAATATGTTTGGTCGAGAATATGTCACTTTTCGTGACTAAAGTGTTTTAGCAACTAAATGGATTAGTCACAATAATGATATATTTAGCGACTAAAAATTTAGTCGGCAAATCCAACTTTTTCCAGACTAATAAAAGTTTTGGTCGCTAATTACTTTTGCCGACCCTCAATTGGCGACCAAAGTGGCGACGAAAAAAATTGGTCGCGAATAATTTTTGCCGACTAAAAATGGACTTTTGCCGACCAAATTTTTAGTCAGCAAAAGTGCAATTGGCGACCAAAATTTTTTGGTCGTGGAATGTCACAATTGGCGACCAAACTTTTTGGTTGTTAAATGTGATAATTGGCGACCAAACTTTTTGGTCGTGGAATGTGACAATTGGCGACTAAGATATTTGGTCGGAAAAATATCACTTTTCGCAACCAAAGTGTTTTAGTGACAAAATGGATATGCCGCAGTAATGACATATTTAGCGACCAAAAATTTAGTCGGCAAATCCAACTTTTCCCGACCAACCAAGATTTTGGTTGCGAATTACTTTTGCCGACCCTCAATTGGCGACCAAAGTAGCGACCAAAAAAATTGGTCGCGGATAACTTTTGCTGACTAAAAATGGGCTTTTAGCGACCAATTTTTTGATCGGCAAAAGTGTTATTTCTTGTAGTGAATTTATAAAAAAAAATAATAAATAAATAACATAAAACAATAGCTAACTTGTGGTCGGCTTGACGATGAATTTTAAACATTTGTAGTGTTGCTTGATTGACCAATAGTCTAAAGAAGTTCAAAAAGTTATCAATACTTTACACAATTTATAAAAATAAATGCATGTCATTTGAAATCTCAAAAGTACATAGGTAATACCTTACTAAGGTAGGTAGGTTGTGAAATAACTTTTGTCTTCTTATTCATCATCTTATGCCAAGGTTTTAATCTACCTTTCCCTTTATGTCCAACATCTTTCTTCTTTATGCCCTTAACTTGTGCAAAGTTGGGGTCATCCACATCTAATTCTTTGGTACCAAAATTTCCAACTCCCTTCATCATATTATTCACTTTTACACACAATTCCTTAATCCCTTCATCAACTAATTGATAGGCAGGTTTGTGCACAGATGCTTAAGTTGCTAGTTTTCCCATTCTTGGACAAAGATCTCTATAACGTGCTAATATTAATAACTTCGGATCATCCTCATCCACTATAACATTTTCCTCTTCAATTTGACAATCTTTTGCATCCCATCTCCGTCGGCCTAATATATACCTTTCAGGAATTTCCAGAATATTCATTCTATCAAGTGCTTTGATTGCATGACTACATAAAATTCCAAAGTTCTCAAATTTCTTACAAGTACAATGTATTTCTCGACAGCTTTTTTGTCCTCTTACCCCAGTAACTTCCACCCTACCCTCTACAAATATACTCTTCATCATTACCATACAAGCCAATCATGCACTTAACTTCTCCTTCTAACTCATGGAATTGCTTTACTTGACAATAAAGGGACGTATCCAACTCATAATGAAATAAGTCAAAGATAAGGGGGTGTACAAACTCGCAACCTGGATTAAAATGGGAGACGTTTTCAATTTCATTCTTGGCAACTTTTGTCTAGAATCATATACTGTAGAAATTTCCTCATACCGCTTATCTACAATAATTCGATTGAAGTGAGTAAAGAATTGAACAATGTTATGATCACCTTTCAAATATCCCCTTAATGTTCCATTTAGACTTTCACTAAGTTGTGTGCTTCGCATTCCTCCAGTAAATACCCATTTCATATACACATGCGCCCACTGCTCTCTTTTTCTCCAAATTCTTTTCATCCACTCATTCTCTTGCAAGTTATATTTATCAATCAAAGAATTCTAAGCTTCAATTAATTCATGCTCATTCTTGTAGTCATAAATGCAAGCTTTTAAATCGCTACTAAATTTTGAACCACTCTTGAACAAGTAACCTAAATGCTTCAAAGCATTTTGCAATAGGTGAAAAGTGCACAACCCATGAAAAACCTCAGGTATGATTTGTGAAATTGCCTTAGCCATTGCTTGATCTTGGTTTCTGAAAAAACTAATAGGCATTTTTTCCCGACATTGCATCTAAAAAAGTTTCAAATAACCATTCAAATGACTCTGCAATTTCATCATATAATAATGCTGCACCAAAAATCACTGTCATTCTAAAGTGGTTAAAGCCAGAAAATAAAGCAAGTGGATGGCACTCCTTATTTGTTCGAAAAGTTTTGTCGAATGACACATCATCATCAAAAAGTCCATAATCTATTATCATCTGATGATCAGCTCAAAAAATATTAGTAATCATCTCATCTACATCCAACTGAATGGCATACTAAAAATATGGATTTTTTGCCACTTGCTACCGGAAATATCTTAACAAACTCCCTACTTCACCATATTGCAAGTTTCACTATCATTTTGCATGTAAGTAGGTTTTCTGATCATCTCACGTGAACCCTTCAAATTCCTTCTCTCTTGCTATAGCACAAATAAGATCATGTGAAGCCTTAAGAGATATTCCAGTCTCATCAGCTATATCAATATTTATGCCCTGAACATCACATACCTTTCTCTGAGATGGCATCAAATGAGTATATTGAGGAAGATGCAAAGGGTGGTTGTGGTTGTTATCAAACTTTGACACAATCCACTTCGACAAGTCCCGCTTAAAAGATATATGCATGAATGCATTACAATTTGTTCTTGTCTTACTTCAAGGGTTTTTTTTTATCACCATGTACCGTTTATCTTTTTCCCTCTCTCCCTCCTTATAACAAACAACTTTCTACTAGTCATAACACTATCTTTCTTGCTTTTGTTACAATAATCTCTTCTAATACTAAACCCCACAATTCTTCCGAATTCATTATAAAACCCATATGCAGCTTCTTCTGATGGAAACTCCATACCAAGATACGGTGATTTATTCTTGGCCAACTTTCCCATTTCTTCGATGCATCCCTCAAGTCCATCATCATCCATTACACCATCCTCCATTTCAACACTAACAAATATGGAAGAAGTAAAAATTAAACGAAACAAGAATCTGAGCAAAAAAGTTATTAATTAATTTTAAATGCTGAGTAATTACAAACAATTCAACGAAATCTAATAAATCAATTAATAATGTAAATTAATTAAAAGGATAGGAGAGGGGAAAAAAAAGATGTGTAATTTGTACAGTAGCATTGGAAATTTATTAGGGAATCTTTTGGCAGACACGCTTAAAGATGTGAATCATATGCTCTCTTATTATATAATTTTTTGATATATTTTTTGTATTTTTATCACAAATGTTATGTCATATTTTATTGAGTTATGACAATTTATGATTAAAAAATTAAATTCATATTTTGTAGTAAGGTTATACTTTTTTTTATTGAAACTTTTTTTAGACCATAAAATGCATAACATTATTACAAAAATACATAACATTGTTACCCCAAAAAAAAAAAATTTATGAACTCTTTAAAAAAATTATATAATATTTATACAAAAATACATAACATGTACAAATCAAATTACGTAATAAAGAAATTTTCTTATAATATACAATTGTATTTCTCAATCCATTCACAGAAAACAAACCAAACCATTATACTTGTTGAACCGTTATACTAACACATTGTACAAATAAAATACAAACATATATACATATAAATATAGATACACATACCGGTTTGTTGAACAATAATGGTCTGTAAATCCGGGAGAAGGACGGTGAAGCAAAGACAGAGAACACTGTTCAATCCGTTTGAAAGAAGACAAAAATGTATAAAAAAAAATAATAAATAACTAATTTTTCTACTCCATGTAAAGCAGAGACCTTTGCCTGGGACAGAGAAGTTGTAAAGTAGAGACCATTGCTTGACGACGGCAGCTAGATGTTATAATAAAATAAGAATTATTGAAACCCTTACCAAAAAAAAAAAGAAAAAAGGAGAAAAATGGTGCCGTTTCTTTGGCACAACAGGCACGGGAAGAAATGAGGCCCGCAGGGACCCCGCTTCCTTTGCCTTCCCAAAATCTCGAAACTCCACTTTCTAGTTTTCATCCATAAAAACTAAAAAAAAAAAAAAAAAATGGTTTAGGCTTGCCTCGTAATGACACTCTCCATATGCGATGTAACACTATTCTGGATGTGTCATGTGTCATTTCATGAATACAACTTTGATGTTAAA